AGAGGAGGAGGAGCAGGAGCAGGAGCAGGAGGAAGAGGAGGGGGCCGAGGCGGTCGGTAAGGGCCCACCTCCCCCTCACGGAGCGCAGCCCGGGGCCCGCTGCCTTCGGGGGTCAGCGGGCGTAGGGGGGGGCCGCTGCTAAAACTTGTTTCCCCCTCCCCGTTCGGTAGCGAACTACAGGTTCTCGGGGCGGGACAGCCTCATTTTCTTAGTGGATGGCACCAAGGCCATGTTTGAGTCCGACGAGAACGGAGTGACGCCCTTTGACATGACCATCCAGGTAAGGCTGCGTGCGGAGCCGCAGGGTGCTTCGCAAACCCGAAGCCGGGATGGCCTTCGGCTCCGCCGTGGGTATGGCCAGCGGGTTGTCCCTCGGCCTCATCTGGCTGTGTGAGGCCGCGGTGAAACTTGGAGCAACTCAGGTTGCTGAAGGGCTGCGGGTTTGGAAAGGTCCGTTGCCTGATGGGCTGTGCCCAGCTTTCGGTGAGGGAAACGTTTATAGAATGAGCGATCAATCCATGTTCAGGGTGGTGTGTTTGAGAGGCGTTTGTTGCGTTGATCTTGCTTGTAGAAAGGGAATGGTAATGATAAATGGCTAAGGCTGTGTACTGAAAAAAAAAAACCCTCTTGAAAAATAAGATTCCAAATTCTTTCTCCTGGTGAAATTTAGCTTAAAGCATTTGTAACAGTTCTGCTTGCTAGAGTCTGCTTGTATAAACTGCTGATTGCCAAAGACAAAACTTTTGCACCATTACTGCAACTGATTTTTTTCACATTTTGACCTGTGTGCATTTTTTTTTCAGTGCATCCGGAATGTGTATACCAGCAAAATTATTAGTAGTGACAGGGATCTGTTAAGTGTTGTGTTCTATGGTACAGAAAAGAACAAGAACTCAGCAGATTTCAAGCACATCTATGTTCTTCAGGAGCTGGACAATCCAGGTAAAGGCAGTAAAGTGGTATGAAGGTTATGTAGAAAGATGGAGTAAGGAAATTTGTGTAGTAGCATTGTCAGTAACTGGTCTCTCTGAAAAAAGAACTATCAGATAAACAACAAAGTTCCTGTTACTGAGGTGCGTGGGGAGGATAGATTTAGAAATTTATTGAAGGCTTAGAAACTTAGTGGGAGCTTAGCTTTTTCTGTTATAGTTGGTTCAGATCCCTTTCCTATGTCTTTTCTTCTATTTTAACGTGGTGGTTCACTTGCTGTCTGCTAAACCTAAGAGAATCTCAACAGAGCTCTTGAAAGCCCACCGTGTGTCTGCTGCACTTCAGAAAAGTGCGTGTACATGCTAAGGCACCACAGATTCCAGCTGATGGAAAATATCACAGAATGGCTGAGGTTGGATGGGATTTCTGGAGGTCATCTTGTCCAACCCTCCTGCTCAAGCAGTGTCAGCTAGAACAGGTTGTCCAATATGTTAATCTGTTTTGGGGTGTTCCATCTCTTATTTTTGTAATAAGTTTTGCAATTCTTGAATTTAGCTCTTCCGTTTTCTTAGAATTTCTTAGAATTACCTAGCATCTGCATGATAATGAGTGCCAGTTGCTGAATTAGAAAAAGTAGTAGGAGGAGAGCAACGAATGTATGCTAGGGGTGACAAATTCTCTGACAGCGGAGAGTCTTGTGGGGGGATTTTGTCTACTAGCTTTTAATAGCAGCCTTTAGCTCTGTGGAGGTTTGATTTAATTTTCTTAGCTAGGAGGTGCAGGTTTAATAACACATGGGGTTCTCCTGAAAGAACTGTGCCTTGTCCTAGTTTCAGAATTAATTATGACAGGGACCTGACAAGACTGCCCTAGGTTCTTCTCCCTTTTCTGGCAGCAAGTGCCTTAGGCTTCTTGCTCATCCTTTTTCCTCCCCCTTCCCTGCTTGCCCTTTTCCCTGCATTAGAGGCAGTAGCTTCACTGTGCTGATAAAGACTGCAGGTGAAAACTGGGTGTTCTTAAAAAGGAAGAGAATTTGCTGCCTCTGGAGAGCAGTGTGCTCTGGAGAAGGGAGAAATGCTATAGTTAGTTATTATGTAGTACGTAATTATGAACACTTATGCTATTAATTAGATGACAGCTGAGGAGGTGAAAGTAAAATAGTAAATGGAGGGGAAGACATTTTCAGATGAGATTTCAAAAGTGCTATAGAGTTTGAGTGAAGGACAAAGGAAGAAGCTCTGCTGAATGCAGTAGCTGAAAAATAAGAACTTGTCTCCCTTTGTAGAGTTATGGGAGAAAACTGAATCTGCTCTTGGACAGGGGGGAAAAGGAGTGATAGTTGGGCTGGAGTAATCTGCAGAGCTTTAAAAAGGCTGTCAACACCTGCCCTGAATGCTCCATGTGGTGATCTGTGGGCTGCATCTGACCTCTAGATTGATTCTGTCTGATATGAGGGGCAAGGGGGCAGTAGGAATTCTCCACCTTCCCAATGTGCCATGGAGATGCAGGACATATTTTAGGCTCCTCTTCTTTCTCTGGTGGCACAGCAAT